ATTCTTTTGCGTAAAACTAAAATTCATGCCAATATTTTTCCATGATTTATAATAATTGGAGTAATTCAAATGTATATTTTCTAAAAAAGTCAATTTTTAGTGAAATTTTGCCGGGAATGGGGCTTTAATATTCTATCGATATTCGACTCGACAGTATACAAGTAGTCATATACTTGTGAGCCGGTTGGCTTTTAATTTGAATCATATGCAAAATATTTGCAATCTAATGCGGAATCTTGTTCGTCCGGCTATCCCCGAAAAAATAAATGAGGTAATTTCTTTTGTATCAACCAAAAAAATAACACTCATTTGACGACAGTTTCAGACATTTTAGGAAAACAAGAGAACGCATAAATCTAACCATGTCTCGTTAGTGATTTTTATGGCAGCATTATACGTTCAGAGGGAGAAAAGTCTACTACTAATATTGTACGGAATGAAGCGCACAGATTTGTGGCAATATTGGCTACGGTACTAATGTTATGGAATGTGATAAAACGGTAAGGTCTGCTTGCACAGAATGAGTTTAATTAAAATGAACTGTAGTTGGCATTCTTGTCTATGTCTAAAGCTTACAAGTAGTAGTCCCAAATAACTGTCTGTCTACTTCTCCTACATCATATTTATCGCAGTAATCATAATATTAATTGCAGTGGTTTAGGACAGCCGCGAAAGGAAGCACTAAAATACAACCATTTCTGACACCAAATGATTTTGTCGAAAACGCGATAGTACGCACCAGATCCATCTCGACGCACGATACACCGCTGTATTCGCGCGTACACGCGATACTGCGTCGCATTGCGTATACCGGTACGCACATCTTATGTTTCCAACCAAGTCACAAATCGCCCATAGGCCCATGTCTTGCCCTTTTTGTCTTTCTATTGTGACGTTAAAAGTGTGCAGATGAATTGGGAATTTAGATGTTTAGAATTGAAAAGATGTTAAGACATTCGGGTAATGTAATAACGAGTACCAAGTAGAATTCCTTCCCTCCATGTAATGTTGGTAAGGTGTTCAATGCATCTTCAATAATCTAATTCAAGTTAAGTAATGTAAAAAATGCATTTCTATGCTTATATAAACAAGAACTAAATCATGTTCTCGACTGATTTGATCAAAATTTGGCCCCAAGTTGAAGTATTTGTCAAAAGGGTACCGTATAGCAACAATGAACCATAAATCTAAATTTTAAATAACATCGACGAATGAAAAACACAAATCTGTTTACAAAAAAGTTGATGTAGATTGTAGATTACACATTATTCGGACTATATCAGCGAAAGATCACACTGGTTTCTGATAATTAAACAGATAAAGTTGGACCTATACTTTAGACTTGTGTTGAAATAATACCATTAATAAACTCATTGATTAACACATTTCCCGTAAAAATGATGGAGGTGTGGAATAGACATGTCCGAAAGGGGGACCAAAAGGGGGACCAAAAGGGGGACTTAGAGAGATAGCACTACCCTAGGGAGTTAGGGGGAATGCCCCCGCGAAATCTACACGCCCAAAAATAATATCTGAGGCGTTTTGGGCCTCAGATATTATTTTCTTTTTTGACTTTCCGAAAGGTGGGGGCGGGGCCGCCGCGCCCCACTCTCCCAATCCGCCCCTGGGAAGGAATGCAGTTTAAAAACACATATTTATAGTGAGGCTTGTATTAATTAGGCCTAATAAGTATTTTATCAAAATCGGACTGTCCTCAGGTTAAATACCGAGCCACTAATGCTGTTACTCGTGGCATGCATTCGTTATGATTCGAACGTGAATGTGTTTTTCGAATAATATAATAATAATAAGGGTTCAGCTAAAACCATGAATGGGTAGCGTATATGCCTAATCTATTCTAAAACACTTCTCTCGGTACACAACAGTGGAGGACTATTTTGAACCGACCAACCTCCGTTTTAACTAAAAGTGATAGGCCTAGTGTATTATTTTTCTTCTCAAGAATAATCTAGAATGTATACACATTGTATCGAATGTCTTAATTGTGGTCTTGACGTAAATAATATAGCCTAATTTGACTGTATCCAAATGTATGATATTCCGCTACTACGACGATCAATGTCCAATTAACGTGCTTCAGGTACGATATCGCCTTATCGACATACGTCCAATATAGTAGCAATACTTAATATTAATATATGACAATATTAGATATAGTGGTACAACATATTTAACGAAGCCATGCAGTTCGTTAACAACTAATACCAGTAGGTTGCGACGGACTTTATTGCTTTTTTTAAAACCAGATGTAGGGTGACCATGTGTCACAAACCGAGAAAATATAGATTCAGGTTCCTCTGTCATTCTGTCTCTTAATACGTTGTAAGACTACAAATTGTGTAGGCTCTTTTATTTCTACTAATATATTGTTACTAAGTGAACGAATAGGCCTAATATTAAATTAGTTTAGATGGATTGACTTGCTTGTGAGCTACAGCGATTTTAATTGCTTTTGTTAATCCTTGCCTCCTTAGATTTACAGTATTGTGAATTTTGTGTGTGTTATTTTTTTAGTTTTATTTTACTGTATGTGCAAATTGTATTGTGATTTTTATAAAAGGCTAAATAAATAAAGAATGAATGAATGAATGGTGTTTTAGAAGTCTGCTGGTCAATTTTCACTATAATACCGTCACGAGTAATCATAAAATGTCTATGTCAGGCACTCAGTGTTCATCCATAATAGGAAAGCGATATACCGGTCATTATTCCGATCAATGCTTACCAACTCCTTTAAAGAACCTCTTGACCACCTTAACTTATAGGTAACATGCTAATTAAACAACAACAAGTTAACACTTTCACAAAAGGCCACAGAAACAACGTTTCACACGTAATGAAGAAGACAAAAGGTGGCACAATAGTTACACAGTCGCGCATTCTAAGATAATAAGGGGTTTACGATAGTGGCAAAAAAAGAATAATAAAAAAAACCCCAAGACATTGCCTTCCCAAGGGGCGAAATAAGCCTATATTCTGCCTATATATTACAATATACACATTTGTATGGAAATAAGACTGACATTTTAGTGTACCAAGACAGAAATCATTATTGCTCAAATTAATGTCGTATTTTCTTAACATTTAGTCCATTGGGTCTATACTTTTTTAAAACTACCCATCGGTTGAAACATCCTACAAAAAGTCCAGCTACTAAGGTGCACACCCGTCGTGGGTGAGGATGATGAAAGTGACGCATAGAAATAAAAAGAGAGAAAAGGGGAATAACGATTGATAACCATGATAATATCATCATGATATCGTAATAAAATAATTAATACATTTTCACTTTTACCGTTGGCAGTTGTATGTATCATAAATGGCCTGATTGAAATTTCTGACAAATAAAAACCCACCTCTTATAATGGCTAGATTTAAACATGTTATTTTAATTTATAAAATATTGAACGAGTTTAGGAATTGTTCTTATAGCTACTTCCTTTTAGAATTATCTGTGCTGTTATTTTTTTCTTCTTAAATCTACAAGCATCAAAATTGGAGTCTTAAGTACTTAGATACTTCAATTTATGTGAGATGACAAATTAATCTCTCTCGTCTGATGTATCCTTATGCATTGTCTGATGAGGATGGATTTATATTACTATTATTCCTGTCCATACACTTTCATCCGAATATCTAAAACACGAGTTAACAAACAAGTACTTATATTCGATTTGAAATTATTGACGTGTGTATGATGATATCTCACAGAGATGCTAAACTCAATCATGCTTACCTGTTATTCCTCTGGAATGGGGAGGATTCTTCTCGGCTTTGAGTGGGATGTGGCGGCCTTTCCCGGCGTTCTTCCCGGCAACAGCCATGACTAGGAAGAGGCCTACTAGCAAAATATTCCATCTGGTAAAACATCTATAAATAGGCATGGTTCAATTATTCTGTTTCTTGGGCAATATCAACAAAATCAACGCTAATTAATTGATAATTTCTCAATGACAAGTTATATGTTGTCATCAAACACCAGCAAAAATAAAATTACAACATACAAGAGAACAGTATACAGCTCGACGGTGTGTAAATGTGTAACACCGGTAGAAAATATTAGTCTGGGTCTCGTGTAATATTCCTTCGATTTTGACCCGTTTACGTGTTAAGCGCACGCAACTATCCAACACAGGTACCGGCAGTGACAGTTTTTGACTCCACGCCACACACACCGTCTTCGCTTGACGCTCTCTTCTAGAATGAAAAGGCCTGTCGAGGATTAGGAAACGTACCGTACGTGTCTACCCTCGTGATTGGCTGATCACTCACACTGCATGATAGTTTTGGTTCTTTATTATTGAACACACACACACACCCAAAACGGACCGTCCACAACTATGCCCAACCTCCAATTGTAAATTCACAAGTGAAGAGATTTTAATCTTAGCATCAAACTTATAGGATACGATAGACCTAACTAAATTTTATGCTCATTCCGTAGAGGGTTATGATTTCAAAGTGATCGCAGGCAAGAGGCGTTTCTGCAAAGCGACTCGGGCATAATCCATGGCTCTGATTGTATTGTACTTTTACGTGAGCATATGTTTACAGTGTCAATATAACAGCATTTGTATATTTATATTAAAATGTAATTCTTAACTGTTAATTGAGATTGTCCATATTGTCCTATGCTATATGTCTACGATAGGAAACACTCGCCAATGTAACAGTTTTAACTATTTATGTCAAAATGAAATTCTGAGTTGTGTTGGCGAATCCATTCATACGAAGTGATAATGAAAATTAAATTTTATCTGAGGTTTTTCTATTGCAAATTTATTATAATGCTTAATATGTTAATGGTGGTGAGAATGATTTTCAAGATGACGTTGGTAAATAGCAATATAATGAGATTAATTTTAATTTCTATTTTGATTAGGATATCAATGATGATATTGATAGCAATGGTGATAATGATGATTTAACAAAAGCAAGATGAAAATAATTAAAGCGTAGTGGTGATATAACATAAGCCCTACTGATGATGATGGAGAAAATGAGGATGCTGATATGATGATAATGATGGTGATGATGACGACGATGGTGATGACGACACGTGGACGATGACAATGATGATGTTGATAACAAGGATGACGAAGAGATGACTGAGCATTATTATCATGACTACAGTGGAGACGGTGTTAAATGAGGATAATGTTAAGGTTATTGTGTGATTGATTTGGTGACGATGATATCAAGGTTATCAACCAGCTTTCTCTCTTGTATAAATATAAGCTATGTTGAGGGCGCTGCGTGGTTTAATGACAGTTCGTGTTAGGCCTAAATGTCTAATTAGTAGCATTCGCGAATTGCTTCCTAGCAGTAAAACTTTAAAATCATTAACAAGTGTTAATGTATATTAAATTTACTTTGATTTGTATAGACGGGTAGCTACCAGGTAGACCTTCTGTCAGTTTAGGATGGCTTGAATTAAGATGTAATAGGTCGAAGGTCAATGACCTCACTTGACTTAACTTATTTTACAAGAGATTTGTCCTTAACCTCGGTGTTTTAATTATTTAGAGGGTAAATATTTTGGTGAAGAGCTCATGTTTTATTAATCCTGGATCCTATATAATTATGCTAGGCCTCATGAATGATGAGCCAATGAAATCGAAAAGTTAAACAAATATTCTATCTGAATATTTTCAGAGAGGCCTATTCGGTTTCATTATCATTTATTTAATTTAAATTTAATGTAGCCTATTTTAAAATCCTCCTACCAAAGCGTATCGTTAAATAGCTTTGCTTGTTCATCGTTAACCGTTCAACAATAACAGAATCGGTGATTTGAACAAGACATGAGAATTGAAATGACAATTTCGTATGGAGTGTTTAATAGACCACTTGCCAACGTGCAACGTTCTGTACTGTCAGTTCAATGCGGAAGACGATAACGCAACATGTGACGTTACAATTTAAAAAAAAAAAAAAACATTTTATATAAATCCGTGTCTATTCAATCTTGATTTATAAACATGGAATCCCCAAATTAATAACATTTTGACAGGAAATCAGAATCCTTCTGTGGTTACGGTTATTTCAAACCAGCTTAAGTCGAGTGGTTTTTTTTTTAGTTACAGGTCTTTCTATTGGACCATTCAAACATGATTTCCATGGTGATTATATACTGTTATGATAGCGCTTCTTGATTTTGTTTAGACCTAACTAAATTTTACAAACTATTATTTTTATCCAATTCTAAATATCAATATTATAACATTATATAAACATTCTGATTTATATTTAGCCAGATTATGCCTTCATGGTGAAACAGGATTATTAATTGATTTATAGTGGTTGCCATTGATGGACCTTTTCGTTAAGCCATGTCCCTTGAGTATTGTTGCTGATTCCCCCACAAAACGACAATGTAAAAACATACGCAAACACGTGCGTTTGTGTGAAAACACGTGTGTTCATTAATAGACACGCGCGTATTCCTGGCCCTGTTCTGATTGGTTAGTTGTTAGTTGACACTCCGGAAAGTTCCATTCGATAACCTCATTCTCGGCCGCTCTTTCCTCACAGCAACCCTCTTCATTCTTCATCTTTCCTTCCTCCCCTGTCCCTCATCTCACGCAGTGAATTCCTTTGGTAGCCTCTATTATAACTAGGCTAATTTATATCGGTTTTAATAAAAGCATCAGTTTATAAATGTGCATACGTCTAAGTACGTGTATTAAGTATTCACCTTAACAAGATCTTTGCTTTAAAAATGAATATCAAGTATTTATGAGCAGGCGAATTAACATGCGAAGCTACCGATAGAATATTTGAATTATCCCAGAGGGACAAGAGCCCTTGTGCGTCGCTGCAAAATCAGGAACTGCGAAGAAGATTATACATAATGCATGTAACCTTAGTATAGGATCATAGTGTTATTTTGTAGTTTAAATGGCATGATGTTATAATATAAACGATGAACATGTTCTGAATTTAAATGTCACTTGAAGAAGGTGTCGTCTCTAATGGCCGAATTATATTTTTGAATACCGGTATTAATACTAGGCCTATGTAGACTAAACAAAAAATTAAAAAGTAAAATCCTATGCTTTTCTAACTTAAAAAACTATAGCTGAAGCTTAATAATAGTAGAAATTGAAATGTAAAGCACAAAGATTGGACAATAATAGAACTTTGCTTTCTATGAGCATATTGAGCACTTGTTGTGAATGTTGTTCATGTTGATACTGCTGCTGTTTCTGCGCTCCAGCGATGTTCAACTCTTGACGTCGAAATTCAAGAAACTGTTCACCATTTCAACTGGAATATTTGTTTCACTAAACCTATTTGTGCTGGCGATGCGATGTGATTGGATATGCTACTGTTTTTATCTTTTCGATTGTATGAGTAGTGAAGAGGTCCTACGTTGTTTCTTCTTTGATGATACAGTATATCACATCAGTCTAGATTAACAAATAGTAGCATCGTAGCGATCTCGTCGAGGTATGTGTGATATAAAATTAAATAGTCGTATCGGTTCCTCTATGAAGATTTGACACGATACTGTAATTCTGCAAACCTAGTTCGAATTAGAAAACAATTTCGTCGAATACACGTAAACCCACTTCCTGCTCAAAACGCGATGAGTGATTGTTTGCCGAGACTGCGCGGACTTAAATGTGTCTGAATCAAGAAAATATGCATGTGTTATATTGAACGTGATGAGTCGAAGCATGACCAGAATACTGCATTAAGATGGCAATCCCCAAGAGTTCAAGCGGTCACCGTATACCTTTAGATGTAATGCATAGCGGTTCAAAAGCCATTTAGACGCAGTGCGCAAACGCCAAAAAAAAACAAAAAAACAAATAAACAAACAAAAAAACAAAACAAAAAAAACCATATCCCAATCACCACAGTCGATATTTAGTGTGAAACTACCCCGGAGCCGAGTACAATGGCTACGTGAAAATATCTCAACAAACTGACAACTGGAGTAAGCCTCGACTCTAACTAGCGCAAGGAAAATGTGGTTGGCGCTGCCTAACGTGCACCACGGCTCGACGCATGAAGTGGCGTTTGTTATTAAATAAGGATACCCACAAACCTGTCACACGCAAACGCAAGTACTGTATTGATACTACTCCTGCGTTTTCCCCACAGCGTCTTGAATTGTTCTTATCTGAACCTATCCTTATTGATGTAAATACATGAAATTTGACATAGACCTACTATGATGGTGGTGGTGTTGATGATGGTGATGACGACTACGATGATGGTGATGCTAATGATGACAGGGGTGCGGATCCAGTTGGGGGAAACGGAGTGCCCCTCCCCCTGTTTTGCCACTAATTTTAAAGATCTCAATGCAAATCAATGTTATGTACCACTTATCTATTCTGAAACTGTTGTGCCCCCCACACCCCCGTTTAAAAAATTCTGGGTCCGCACCTGCATGATGATAATGATGGTGATAATGATGATGATACCGTTATTCCTCTTAATCCAATCAAATAAACAATACAAAGGTACAAAAAGTTGTACAGTTTTTTTATCAAACCATTCCTACAGTACGTGTACATTTTTAGTAATTTTATGTAATTTTTAACATTCATTATGAATTTGTATCAATTGTATGCAATTACTGAGAATTGCATGTTGATCTTGACCGAATAATTGAATGAATGAATCATCATTATATACGAATTGTTCGAATCACTGTGCAGACTAGGGCCTACAAACCTAGAAGTTATACCGTATACTTCGATAACTTAATTTCGAAATAATTGATAAAAGCAAATCAATATCTCTTGATTGAATTTGAATGAAGCTGTAACTTGGCGGTTGCCTTCTGATTACACGGTCTCTCTGGTTCAAATCATGGAAGCGTCATGATTTATTTTTTCTCAAGACTAAAATTACTTTCACTCCCCAAGCCTCATTTTATATACTGACTATAATTTTATAGAGCATCACAGGCCTGCTTGTTCATGAGTTCGATTTGAGGAATACAGAAGTAAAAACAATTCAAACATTTATCATATTGTAACAATTCCCACGAATTAGCATTGAAAGTGTTGACAGGCATCCGACTTCCGATAATGCGCCATCATTTGTTCGGCCTACAAGAATGATCCGCGGAATAAACGATAAAGATTATTTTATTTGTTAAAGATTCTAAAGATCCTTGATGAGATAGTGGGAAAGACGCGGATTTTGTGTCTTCTTGTCTGCTTATGCATCTCTGCAGGTGCAACGAGGGGCCGTTTCTATTGAGTGCTACTTAAATAGCGTTTGTAACCGTTTTTAATACTTTTTCTAAAGAGCTTTATGATTGTCTTGTTTACTTGGTCACTAAATACTTTGCAGTTACATTCTTTTCTAAAAAAAAAA